TGTTTCCAACCAAATTAATTATACTTTCTTAATCTGTGTGAAAAAAAAATCAAGACTAACAAAACGGGACGGAGGGAGTAGTAGTAAAACCAAGAGCTCTTTGGTTGTTCCATCCATGTGAAGAAGGCTTCCCTGATGAATTTCTTAATTCACTTGATTAGACACTGCAGAAGCTTTACAACGGCCCTGCAACTGCTCCTTGCATTTTCCCTCTCATTTCTATCAAGGAAAAATCTTGTAAGAGTTCCTTAATAGTCAAGTCACCTTGGTTTTTGAATTTTGGCATTGTTTGTGGTGGCCAAAAGTGGCTTCTGGTTTGCTCTCTTTTTTATTTTCTTCGCACTTTTTTATTTTCTTTTGATTATTGGAAGGAAAAAAATGTAGGTACCGTTATTATATGCCTTTTGTCAAACGCTGTCAGGCGGTAAATGAAAATAGAAAAAGAAAAATTCGTTGAATAAGACTGGGAAGGGAAGCTTCTGAACAAATCCCTTCTTTTCCATGTTTAGACTGCTTCTGGTTATGAAGAAGGCAAGACATTTGTTGACCTTAACATCTTTGACAATAATATTGCATCCCCAGCTATGAAGAATATAAGAGACAGAACTGTTCCAAAAGTCCAATTACTAGTTAACATTCAATAAGTCAATGGCAGGCATCCAACATGTCATACAAATCAAAGATCACAAGGCATTGAGTTCCAAGAACGGATAATCTAGATCCGTTGCCTATGCTTCTTATGTAGCAACTTCGATTAAGCACTAGTATATACAAAGCAGACATGCCAACAGGGTGAATTGTTACAAAATATCTGAAAGTTATGGAATCTGAAAATTGCTACAAAATACTATCTATGTAACAGCCTAATCATCAAGATTTCTAAGCAAAATAAAAGCAATCAGCGCTTCTCAGAAGAAGGGGACATCATCATATTTAGCGGGCCTCTATCATTCTGGTAATAACTCGCAAACCTGGTAAAAAGAATGAATTACTGGAACTCGGATCTCAACAGCATCGTGGCGGCCAACAGGTGACGCAAGAAAACCAACTGGCCGATGCTACTTCAGGGGCTTGTTCAGGATCTTGAGGCTGTGGCTTTGTTGCCTCAGGTTTTTCAGGATTCACTTTCAAGGAACCACCTTTCCCACCATCACTTAGCAATCTGAAACAAATGCAAGAGAAAGGATTGTGTCCTTTCAGATGTATGCTGCAGACTAACAGCATGTTCAAATTCCATATTTTTCAACAAAACTAGACCAACTATGCATGCAGGCATAAAAAAATTCCCAATTGAAGCACTGCCTGGGCATCAAATCACAGATTTTAAGAGGAGATTCTCGTTATAAATGTCATTTTTCCTTTCAAGATGAAATTGGCCCAAATGATGGTCTCACACACTCTACTTTCAAAGAAATCAACCGGAACTCCACATTTCTGAACTCTAGTACCTGTTTGTTGGTGCATCAATGCGTCTGAAATGTGGTATGGAACACAACTTTCAGGTAGTTATAGTGAAAAACAAGGCGACAATTAAGTTTGAAAGCTAAAAGAACTGCGTCTGGGCTCGATTGTTCATCCATGCCGTTGTAGGATGTAATCATAAAATGTTTCCAGAAGCATAGCTCGAGTAGTTTATGACAAATAACCAGACAGAGAAGGAAAAGGGAGCTTACACTGGGAAAGCAAAGGAGTCGCTGCTTTTTGCACTCTCATTGGAAACACGAGGGCCCCTAACAGGAGTACTAGTTGCCTCAGCATGAGGCACTCCTCGGCCATCAGATAAATTGGAGGAAGTGGACAAACGAACTCCCTCAGCATCAGGAGCTAGCTTTTTCACTGGTACAATTATTGGCGTTTCGTGCAAGTCATCCTCTAATCCCTCCCTGACATATACGTTCTTACTACGTTTCTCTGCTACTTCGGCAACAGGTGGAAGGTTAGAGGTGAAACTATTCAACTCTTTGGACTTGGCTTCAGAAGTACTAGTCTGTGTCAAAGGAGAACTGGCCCCTTCCTCAGGCTTGGTAAAGTCTAGACCTTGCAAAAAGATGCTATCTTTAGAGAAGCTGTTATTCCCCATATGAATGCTGAACAATGACTCGTTTGAAGCAACGCTCCAGTCCATGGGTGTTGCTGGTTTAGCAGAGAAAATAGAAGAGGGAATCCGATTCGGGTCATAACCTCGCCCCATTGCTTGAATTGGAGGGGATTTCATTTGTGATGAGTTAAACATTGCCCACTCAGGGGTTTGGGGTAAGACATCTGTTGAAGATAAGTTCCCGCTTCTACCACGTGGAGATGCACTTACCATGCTCCATTGAGGGGTCTGAGTAGAAACATCTGGTGATGATATGCATCCTGATCTGGGTGATTGAGGTCCATCTTTCTCACTTTTATTGAATGAATCATCAGAAGCTGATGAAGAAGATGAAGAATTAGACAGACGTGAACTAATGCCCTCTATGTTTTTTCCACAATCATCATGCTTTGGCTCAGGATGTTGCTTTAAGCCTGAAATGCTGTCTTCTGTAGCTGTTTTAGTGTCATCATGCTGAGCCACAGGATGAACCTTCTTTACATCTGAAAAGGTGCCTTCTGTAGTTTGTTCACCAGAATTCTGCTTGAGCTGTGTATTCAGCTCTACATGCTTGTTAACTCCACCTTCATGCTTGGTTTCCATTGTTTGTCTGGTAAACCAAGTCTGCACTGACTTGGACAACCTCAAGCAATGTACTGACAAGATGCTGCACAAATGCAGTTTAGAGATTGTGAATAATTGCCTCGCTTATGTTGAAAAATTATAATGGAGAATCAAATTATAAATTCAAGAACTTCTATCGGTGCAGAAATATCATCATCATCCAATGAACGCATGGTTTTAAGTAAATCATTAAAAGTTTTATGACTAGCCTGGCCATACAACAAAGAATCTCCCACCACTGAAATTCGGTGGGGAAAGAAAATTTATCCCGAATTATATATTTTGTATCGGCCTTCTCTAAAAGAAGAAAAGGAAGAAAAGGAATTGGCACAAAATAAACAACCAAGAAAAAGTTGATCAATAGCAGAATATAGCACTAAACTTCCAACTCTATCAAAAATTCATATTATGATAACATCCGAAACATATCATATGGAACATTGTCCTAAAAGAGCTGTCAATACCGCGATTGAAGCTCGGCTTTATTTGAGTGAAAACAGCCATATCCCAAATCCCTAACTTTCTAATAGCTGCAATTAATTTGGACAACAAGCGTGCATACAATTTTCACGGGCTGAATTAGACATGATGAAAATCATAAACCCTGATCATGATCCACATCGTTCTCTTATCCCTTTGGATTTTTTTTTCCTTGGGGGGCTAAATCAGCAGTCGTCTAGAATTCAGTTCATACAAATTATAGCAACATCCTGAATATTGGAGGTTAATTCTTCAGGGCTCGAAAAACTCAAGAGAACCGGCATTATATCATCTAAGGAAAGAAGCAACGTAACATTCAGCATACCTAAATCCTAACGCAAAACCGTTGATGACCAATTGAACTCGAAGATGATGATCAGATTCTTCCCTTTTCGTCTTGTAAAACGCTCTCCACGTCCCACAAGACTAAAAGAGGGATTGAAGAAAAATGAAAGGTAAAACCGAAAAGAAAAAAAAATTTATGAAATGTGAATCAATAAATAGTTCAATTACGTATCGACAACACAAGAAGCCAGAGGACAAGGGATTGAGAGTTGGCTTAGGGTTTATTCTTTCTTCAAAGAATCAAAACACAATTTCCTACCAAAGGAGGGCTATCCGACCATTTCGGTTAATGCACTTATGACTTCCCTCGCTGGCCGCCTCTGTGACGGGGGAATGTTTGTTAGTTATTTAGAGACAGCTCATTACATTGCAATGCTGAAAACTTTGGTTAACGTACTTTTAATTGTTTCATTTTTTTTCCCATCGATCTCTTTAGTCGGTCAACGAACAAAATCTACCATGCATGTAAGAAAGAAAGTGAGCTTTAGTGCTTTTTCTCCGTACGTACCACGTGACTTCCTAATAAATTGACAAGTATCTTGCTAATATTTGTTTTTTTTTTAACAGCCGAAATTAGACTTTTGTTGAAATATAAACCTAATCCCAGAACCAATACCAAAAGCCGGCAACTCTTGGCACGGTCCCAGGGACTTATAACCCTGGGACATGACTTTCTGATAACATGACAAGTAGCTTGCTAATATTTTTTTTCTTGTACATTGCTATTTTTGCCATTACACATTTGTTTTTTTTTTTTTTTTAGCCTTTTGTTCATGCCAAATCAAAGCAAGTCTGGTTCTCATGTTTTTTATGGGTGTTCACTGGTCGCTAATTAGGAATTCGATAAAAAAAAATGATAATTTGAATGTTGATTTTTTTAAGACCAATTTCTGATTACAGTCCAAACCTTAGTTTGATATATTGGATCGGAAAACCCGTAATTTGGTAATGTTTGAAATCCGAAATATTTATAGCAAGTTAAAATATTTTAATATTCTCTAAAAAATTATTGTAACAAAATAATATCATATATGTTTTTCCAATAAAATTCAATCAACTCAAACAAACATGATATGAAAAAAAAAAGGGTTCCTAACCCTAAGTCCTAACTCATAATCTCAATTTTCAAGCAACATTGAAATATATAAGAACTTTAAATTTAATTGTTAAGCTAAACTCCAATGTATCAACTTCCACTAAAATTTTACTTCCAAATATAGCTATAATTAAGTTAACTAATTAGTAATTGCTAATTAGTATTTAGTGATAGAATTATGATTTACACTTATATTTAGTAATATGCACGAGTGGGTATATATTCTACTTTGGCTCCTTCTACCGTTGATTTTATGGCAAAGAATGGTTTTCACTTAGATATTTTTGAAATTCTAAGTGGGCATACGACATGCTTAGCACAGCCTGAAGTCTGCCAGTTTATTTAACTGAAAAAAAGAAAGAGGAGGCTATTCTTGAAAAAAATGAAGAACTGCAAGGGCATTATGACACGAGATATTCAGAGGCTGAAACCATCCCGGTAGTCTATCTTTCTTCCGAGATTGTCTGCATGTCAGATTTTTCAAGACCCTAAAGTCGCGGCGGTGGTAGCAGGAATACAGGATGGAGTTCGCTCTTCAAAGACACCTATTCAGCAATACGACTCAGCGTGTAATTGGTAAGCAAGCTCTATCTATCCACTTTTTATCAGCACCAACTGATGATGATAGCTCTGTCCCTTATCCATAAAACACACTACTGCTTTTCCCACTTCTATTTCTTGCTTGTATGATGATGTGAGGATTTTAATTTAATCTTAAAAGAGCACACGTATAAACATTTAAGAAACAAAAAGGGGGTTCTAATCTTTAATCTGTATTCTTACTGAAAATGTTCTCTGCTGCTGCTTGGAGCTGTCTAATTGATAGAACTGATTGTAGAAAACGCAGAAGAAAGTTGCAGACTAGGAGCTGTCAATGTTTTTTTTTAAAAAAAATGATTCTGAGAGCTTTACCTATCCGTGACTTCATAGGGAAAAAGGCGTTTCAACAGCATAATCAACTAATATTATATCCTCCGGCAAGCTTAGGACATGTTTCTCTTCAGGCGATGCATAGCACTTCAATTTTCCATGGAGTTCCCTCAAGGAACAAGCAACTGAGGAATGCGCCTAAGGTCTCATTTTGTTTCCATTCTGATCATTGGCCATGATTTTTTTTTCTTTAAATTTCAGAGTATATGACGTATGTTCTTTAGTTCACATATAGATTGGCCCGGAATTCTCTTCCTAAATTCGTTAATTTTTTCCATTAAAAATTTTGAAGCATCTGACTTGTGCTATGAGGAGGAGGAGAGCGAACATTCCAACTGAAACTTACGTGTTAATGGAACCAGGAGAGGATGAGGAGTTTGTTTCAGAGGAAGAATTGAGGAGCAGGCTGAAGGGGTGGCTGGAGAATTGGCCAGGCAAGTCCCTACCACCCGACCTTGCAAGATTTGAAACTGCCGATGATGCTGTCCAGTTCCTGGTAAAATCTGTTTGTGAACTCGAAATTGATGGAGATGTGGGTTCAATTCAATGGTACGAGGTCCGGTTGGAGTAAGCAGCAGCCTTCCTGAAATCCTAATTTCATATAGCTTTCCTATATTTGAGATCCAGTGTGTTTAGGATATCCGACATTATCAAGGTTTTCTTGGGGTCATTATCGAACTTCGCAGTTACATATTTTTAATTAAGCTCCAAATCGACATATTTAAATCGTTCAAAGACCTTTATCTCATCCACAAATATGAATATGAATGGTACGGAGAAGGTGAACCCTTTGCATTATAGTCGACAAAAGTACACAAGATACAGACCACTTTTCTAATTTCAGCGAGTTGAAGGATCAAAAATTTTGAAACAAAAGGGAGGCAAAGAAATGGAGAACCCCATTAGGTGGTCTCTGTTTTGCTGATTATCAGACCGAAAGGTGAAAGAATTCTTCAACTGCTGCTCCACTGACCCAAAATTTCATATCCCGAAAAGTCCGACTTCCTGACGCTGTAAACCTTGAAGCTGCTAATGTACAAAACAATCAATAAAACTGAAAGGAAAGGAAACAAAGAAAGATCCAAACCAAAAAGAAGAAGAAGATTGCTGGGTGTTGGGGCTAAAAAAACAAAAGCGTACATGGGGTTGATTCTTGGAGGGAGGTAAGAGGGCGCCGGGCTTTCTACTTCTGGCAAGAAGTCCTCTCGACACCGGAGACATCATAAGATCGGTTGGACTAGTATACCTACAAGAAATGAAGAATCGCTTACAAATAGCTGAAACCAAAAAAAAAAAACGCGGAATATGAAAGGCAAAGAAGACAGAATTACAAACCTCTCAGGATATTTGAAAGCCTTGGGAACCTTAAGACGACTAGGAGTCACAGATTTGCAGGGAGCAGCCGCAGTATTTTGAGAAACTGGGCTTTTAATAGGTTTCTGCAGATTGTGAGGAGGAGGACTCATGGTGTCCAAAGTGGTAGACTCCATCTGGTTAAGGGCGGTTTCCAGCATATTCTCCATTGGGGTATGGAATTTGTGTAATGGGAATTTGGTATCTGTTGTTGGTCCAACTCCAACAAGAGAATATCAATCACTTTACCAGCAGCGTGGATATAGGGAGAGAAACACGAGATGATGAAAGAGCAGCAGCAGTAGTAGGGTGTTGAGAGAATAATTTGGAAAGGTTTCAAGTCAGGTATATATGAGTTGAGATGAGAAACAGGGGCGTGACCGTTTTGTTTTGTGGGGATGGAGTAAGGATTTTCAAGTTTCAACGGTCGAAATTTGGCAGACGAGACGACAGAAAATTTGGTAATCTAATCCTCTTTCCATCCGCCTTTCTTGACACTGTCCTATTTTTTTCTTTTAACACTAGGAGGAAAAGCCCACGCAACGCGTGGGAGTTTAGTGCCTATAATTAAAGAATGTTAATAATTATTATTTGACATTTTCTAGTATAAGAATTGAAGTATGATAATTTTATTATGTGATATTAAATTAAAAAAATCATAAGTTACATATTAAGTTAAAAAATATAATATGCAATAAAACATAATTATAAGATACGATCAACTACTTTGCATTTAACCTAATATAATAAAAGAACTATTTATATCTGCTCATGCACTTTAGGGATATTAAAATTTGTTATTTAGTTTGAATTTGATCTTGCTACAAGGGCAATCCACCACATTATCTTGTCATATAAGTGAGATTTGAACAATTAGCATACTTGAAGAAATCATTGATAGTAGAATTTCGGTTCTTGCAAGCCAAATTCTTGAATTTATATTGATTTTAAGGACATATATCATCACGAGGCCTTCACATTGAGCAACCAATTAATTATAATTTATTGTATGATTTAGGACATATAGCCATATAGCAAAGCATCTCCTTCTCGATAGGGATTACAATCATGAAATATCAGTTTTGTGTTAGTTGCAAAGATATACAACAACTAACATGCTAATTTAGAGGAATAATTACCTCAAAAAAATACTAAAGCATCTTAATCTACTCAATTTAAGAAAAACAATTAAAAGTAATGAGGTACATGCTTTAGATTTGTAGTCAAATAACTTTAAGTAGATAGTTAAACATATTGGCAAATCAGATGAAGTGAAAAATTGTCTAAATGGAATAGTCAATAAAGTAGCAGACGATTTGAAAATTATCCTAACTAATAGTTAAAACAACAAAAGAAGTAGATGTAATCTATAAATGGAAAAATTTATGATGATAAACTTATTTTAAACTATAAATAACAATTAACAAATGTGGTTTCTTCCTTACCAAACTTGTCTAACATGGGCAATTGAATTAAAATACTAAAAAATTATTGCACATACAACTTGCAATATTACAGATTTTTTATAACCAAAAAGTAAATTGGTTAAAGAAAACATATCTATTGAAAAAGGTATTGCAAAATAGGGAAGAAAAGTAATTAATGTAACAACATCCGAATTAACATCTATGATAACGGCCAAGAAACCAAACTTCTCTACTAATTAACATTAATTGTGTCTTAACATCTATATATCATAACTTTGTAAATAACTGATGAGAAAGGCTTTAAGAAATTAAAAGACTTAGATGTTAATACAATTAAATGATTAGAAGAGCTTTTATGTAATTTCACTAAAACACAAGTTGAATTCAGTTGTATCCAATGTTTAATTGGATATCAAACAATGTCACATATCAAACTTACCCCTAGTTTCAAATGTTTAAAAGGACATCCAAGTAATTACAACAAAATTAAATTAGTTATAATGATTCATATTCAATACTCTAATTGCACTTCAAACACTCTCACATTTTCAAAAAAAACCCTATCCTTGCGGTTGAAATTCAAACCTTAAACTCATTCTTATATAGTATAGGGAATCTGTTTTCTGTACGACTGTTAATTAATTAATAACAGTACGACTTAAATAATGCGAAACTGGGCCGTCTCGTTGGAGGTTTACCTCACCTCCTGGCAAAAGATTGGGCCAACCCATTGCGAAAGATTGGCCCATCCCATTGCCTTGCTAGTTGTGTACGGCAAATGGTGAATGATAATTAAGATTTAAGAGGGTACCCAAGTTAGTAAACCAAATACCAAAGCAGATAATTCACCATTTGTTTTTGGGAAAAAAAAAGAGAGAAAGAATGCTAGGACTGTGGATTCCATCTACTTTCAATCAATTACCTCATCACGTTTCCCATTAGAGTAAAAAAAAATATATATATTAAATCTGCTAAATTCAAAGTTATTAAATAAAGGAAAAATTGATGGTAGAGACTACTGTAGACACCAAATTTTTAAATAATTTGTATGTTGCATCTAATTCATGATTTGGTTTTAGATTGTCTGCATTTTAGTTGTTACCTTTTTATTTGTCTTTTATTTGCTAATTATTTGTCATATTAATTTTGTTCACGTTTTAGTTTTAGTTTTAGTTTTAAGTTTTAACGTAAAATTTGTGAAAAAAAAAGAAAAGAGGAAATTGATGAAAAATGGAAAATTGTGCTTTGTTGATTCTAGTTTATTTAGTTTCTATCCAATGTTAATTAAATTACTTTTTTTGTTGTTTTTGTTGTTTGTTATCTATTTTTATTATCAGTTTTATTTAATTAATTTCAAAAAAAAATCAAAAAAATCAAAAAAATCAAAAAATCACAATTCTATTTCTGCCGGTTCCATTTCCACTTCTCAACCTAGCACTTTCCATTGTTATTGCCGACTCCACTCCACTCCCAATACCTCAATATATACATCCCACTACGTTATATCATTTCCAATTCACTACAATCATTACCACTCACCATAACATTCTCATTTCAATTGTTCCTATGCCGTGAGCTGTGAAGTGATCAGCTTCTTTGGAAATAACGACAAGAGAGAGAGAGGTGAGGACTTAGCTTATCTTCCAGCCTCACTTCAAGACCAACCGAGAGAGGGAGAGAGAGAACCGAGAGTCAAACTTCCTCCAATCCAGCCGCAAGTTTGAGCCAGGGAGAGGGAGAGTTGCGGACTGCAATTCTGGACAGCCGAGAGTGGAGGATTTGCAGCTGCTAGTCGTGTGTTTTAGGCTTCAAACTAAGGTAATTTCTGAACTTAGATGAGTTGTTTATGGGTTGATGAAGCTGACTATAAGCATGCATGTGGGATTGTGTGGTTAGATGATAGCTTAAATCATAGAAAAATCTGTTTGAGAAGGAAGTGAAGCTGCCGAGAGCTTGAGCTAGAAGTTTCGGTTTTTAATTTGCTAGCTGTGATGATCTGAGCTTAATTTTGGACTCAACCTGATAGATAGTTTCTTATTTGATGTTGCATGTGAACTACGTGGCCTGAATTTCGGTTGCATGGCTGGAAATTTTAATGGAAGTTGATGGATTGCTGAAACAATTTTTCCAGTTTAGCCGTTGAAGTTGTTTTGGAAATTGCATGGGTATTTTAGCATGAAATTTGCTGGAAAGTGGTTGATTTTCACTTGGTTAGGTGTTTGACTAATTAAAATTAGATGATTAAGCTTTGCAGGAAGTTTATTGGTCCGGCTAAGCAAGAAAAAAAAATGAAATAGTGAACGGCTACATGCAAGTTCATCCAAGGATGGCGAACAGAATTTCTGGATTTGTGGATGTTTATAGTTGCTGTCCGAACTTGATCTGAACTAGAAATGATAGTAATTTCATTAAGTAGCCTTGTATGTTAGTTTTGGGTACTTAACACAATGATTCAACCGAGGTAAATTCGGATTCATGCCCAAGCACTTGCTGGAAAATGCATTTCAACTTGCCAAACCAGTTTTATATGTTCCAGATTTTTCAACTTGCTGAACGTATTTTATTTGTATTTGCACTGGATTTTGCTCAGTTTTTTTTTTCTATTTGTTTGGATGATGGTTTGCTGCCTAGTTTAAAGCCTTGTGTTTGGATTTGATTGTGCTTGAAAGCTGGATTTTGTAAAGTGCCGAATTGCAGAAAGCTTGCTGCGTTTTTTTTTCTGTTTCATTCTTTTGCTGTTTAGTTTTCTTTCTACCTTTGATGATTAGCTCCATTTTCTTGTTTCAATGCTACAATGAAGTTACAAGTTTAGTTGGTGATTGGTAGTTAAAATTCTGATATATGGTGAACACATTTGTATGTTGAAATGCAAGAAAAGCTGCGGCTGAAGGTGCACAAAGCCAGATTTGCTTCTTTTGTTATTGATGGATAATGAATTTCCTTCCTTTGTTGATGATCAAAACCAGATTTGC